AACTATATAAGTGAAAGATTTACTTTGATCATTCGTTTTTTCCCAGATGCTTATGATGCTTTCCTCAGCTATTGAGGCCAATATCATAGTTGTGCTTCATTTGCAATGGGAATGAGTGCTAGATTCATTCAAAACATGAAGAGAGCTTCCAGAAAAACATAATTTTCACCTAGTGTTCAATTGGGAGTTCATGTGAATGTTATGAGAGTTACATTATGTAATGGAGAAAGGGTTGAACATATACTTATGACAAAAGATAGAATCTGTGATGCTTTCAAAAGAACTTATTTAATCTTCTAATAATCTTATTTTGTATAGTTTAATTACTGTGTCCTTTAGTACAGTAGTGTAATTACCATTGGCCAGTAGTAAATGTGTGGGAGTCTTGTTAACATTTACGGTCCCTCATTTATTAATTTATCATAATTTTTATTTTTAAAATTTATTTGTCATAATTTTTATTTTTTTAATTTATTTATCATAATATTTATTTATTTATTTATTTATTTATTTATTTATTTATTTATTTTCATTGTTAAGTCAAATCTAAACCTACATCAATTAAACCTTCATAGTTTCAGACACTACAGTACTTATGAAAGTATGATAATAATATGATAATATGCTGCATGTATTCACAGGAAAGACAGAATAATGCCAAAAGTAAAGGAAGGACACTTGGCAAATTTGCAGAAGAGATTACGACAAGAGGAAGAGAATATGTTTTATCTGCGGCATCCATATCTAACCCTGGTGAGTGAGGACGTGGGAAAATTTCTGTGGATTTCATGCCCCATTTTGTTTAGTTATTGTGATAAAAGTGCATGTGTTGTATGAAATAAAAAAAAACTTTGTTGGTCAGAGTGAAGTGAAAATTAGTCATTAGTTTGCATAGGTCATTTACTTTGACATGTATTAACCCAATGACGCCGGGTGTACAAAACAAAAAAAAAACTCTACGCTCTAGCAAACAAAGGCGCCGACTTTGAGTGCGTGAGTAGGGGACATCAGCCCAAATCACTGGCTCGCTGCGCTTTGGCGTGCCGCTGCGGCGTACGGCTGCACGCCAGCTTTCGAGCAGTTTGTTTTCACGCCTATCGGCATCACCCGGCACCAAGGGGTTAAGGTGGTCTATTGACATTATGAGTGAGTTTACGTATGTGTGACAGAACCTGATTATGTAACTTTTCATAATATATATTACATTGAAAATTGCAAGAATGTATCTATAAATCAAAGTATACTTTTATAGTTACTGGTACTGATTATTCTCCATGTTTTTCACTATAGCATGTCTCATGTCATTGATTTCCTGTCATTCCGCTACAGCCCTTTACTGTGATAATACCTCCAACTTCTAGCATTGTTTCCAAACATAAGTAGGCAAAGTTTCCTTCTGCAGCAGTTCTGATCATTCACACCACAGCCATATCTGAGACCCAAGCTTGTGCAATATCTACCCTGACTGACCTCAAACCTATTACTAGCCTAGCCAAGCCTGAATGTGTGCACCTGAACTGATTCCATCTCCCCAGTTGATTGCCCTGTCTGTGACAAAGTTTGGTCAGACTGTGAAAATGACCTGCCTACTCTCCTTGTTGACTATAATGCAGCATCAGTACAGTGCTAGATATTCTCCCCAGAGGCTGCCATGATTACCTTTCATAGACATGACCTCCCCTGTGAATTTTATATTAATGAAGAGTCTTGCCATGTCCATGCATATCAACCCCTTCCCTTGTCAGCCTCAGAAATAGTGGTGTTTGGCCACCCTGCCAAACATTATTGCTCCATAGCTTGCTGTCCTCTATCTGGCTCCCATAATGTATTTTATAGGGGCTGCCCTACTTAAAAGTTTGAGTCTGAGGCAGCAGTTCCCAGATTCAAACTTGGCCTCACTTTGTGTGAGGCCAGGCAGGAAGCACACCAATAATGTTTTCTCCTCCAGTTCTCTCCTACTCTCTGCCTCTCCCCTTTCTCCCTAAGATGTTTCTACATCTCCCCCAGTATTTTTTCCTCCTACTCCTTACATTCCCACTTCTATCCCCTCTTCCTCCCAGTCAAATTCTTTTGCCATTCTAAATCCAGACACTCCAACTCCTTGCTCTATCCATTGCATTAGACAATCTAAAAGTTCCACCCCATCTCCTCCTATCACATCCTCTCCTACATCTACCTCTTCCTCTTATCCCTAGATGTCTATCCCCTTTTCTTCCCCCTCATAAGAACTTTTTTTTTCTCAGGCATCCCCAACCAACTCTCTATTGGAAACTCTTGATGACATTCAAAACCTTTCTAATCATGCCACCCCTCAATCTCTTTCCTTTCACTCTCTCTACATTCAAAGTGACTGCCGACATACATCATCGTCCTCCTCATGTCCCCCCTACACCCCATCCCCTCTTGCTCCATCTATATCAACCCCCACTTCCTTTCCCTGTTATCCCTTCTGCTCCTTCCTGGATCTAAATGTGATTCCCTTCATACTCTTCCTCTTCTAATTCTGACATCCATTTTTACCTTTATCAATTGTTGATTGTTTCATAGTAACTTTTCTACACTGAAATATTTTCAGTTTATGTTCTCTGTTCTGTTCTAGCACATTTATTGATCCAAATTCAGTCCATTGCACCTTGCCCATTTCTAATGAGTCAAGAACAGACTATAGTTCACATATAGTTTATTAAGCAATATTATTTATTTATTTTCTAGGACCAGTCATGGGGCCATGCCAAGGAACTAGGAAAGCATGAAGAATGGATGCACAAAAAGTATGCTGAAAGTCAGAAGTGCAAGCCAAATGTAACCATTGAGGAGAGATATAAAACCCTTCGCAGTACAGATGTTTGGGATTAACTAAGCTCCGAGTTATTACATATTTAGTTTTGCTGTATATACATGTTTGTTTATGAAGTTTGTAAATCATGTATCAATAAATTAGGTAAGGAAAAATACCTTTTCTTTCTGCTTTTATTTCCCCACAAAATTAGACAAATCACAAGAATACTGGTTCTTTTCAAAAGTGAATCTGTATGTATATTAATTCTCAAAACATTACCTTTTTGAATACTCAAAATACTCCTGTATGGCATTAATCTGTTAAGTCTATTTATAAGACCAAAGTTACTTAACAAAACTTGTTTATCACATTTTCAAGGAATGTTCAAAGACCAGAGATCCTACATTCATATTTAAGTTCACATACTAATAATAATATTTTTAAAATAAAAATGATTGCTATGTTTTCCTTCAATAACTATTCAGTTTCATATTTCTATATTCCTGATTTTTCTCTTCACTGGAAAAAGCTCAACCTATAAATGTCTCTAGCCTAACATGGCTATGTTTACCTGTTTATCTGGAATCACTAACATTTTACAAGAAGATTTTGTATAAATGCTTCCTGACTGATAATACTACAAATACAACAATATCTGTTTTTAACATAATGTTATATCTAGAAATGCACATGAAAATATTGCTCCAAGGTGATTTATTTGTTCTCCTAAGTACAATAACATACATCATGACATAGTTTTTACCTAAATTATTGCTCTATAGATATGATTTTTCAAGCTTACTATCTATCAGTTATCAGGCACTTGCAATAGGCAACCAGAGGAACTTAATATCTTTTGTCTTGTACCTAGTAATGGAAACATGCAAGACAACCCAGGTAGTACAATTATTAAAGAGACATTGTCACAGTTTTAAAGTATCCACACAGGGAAAGGGAAAGGCTACATTTTGGATATACATAAATAGGGGGGAGGGGGAGAGGGGGAGAGGGGGAGAGGGAGAGAGGGAGAGAGGGAGAGAGGGAGGGAGAGAGAGAGAGAGAGAGAGAGAGAGAGAGAGAGAGAGAGAGAGAGAGAGAGAGAGAGAGAGAGAGAGAGAGAGAGAGAGAGAGAGAGAGAGAGAGGGAGGGAGGGGAGAGGGAGAGAGAAAGAGAGAAAGAGAGAAAGAGAGAAAGAGAGAAAGAGAGAATGTGTGTATGTGTATGTGTATGTGTATGTGTATGTGTGTGCGTGTGTGTTTGCAGATATGTGCACATAAGCATGCATGTGTGTTTGCGGATATGTGCACATGAGCATGCGTGCGTGTTTGTTTGTGTTGGTGTGTGTGTGCGTTTGTGTTCATGTGTTCATGTGTTAGTGTGTGTGTTTGTGTTTGTGTTAGAATGTGAATGTGAATATGAATTTGAATGAGTTTGAATATGTTCCCTTCCCTACAAACCATTAGTAAAGCTACATGATACATAAATGTTAACATTATAACATAATAATCAGTAAAGAGCTAGATTTCATGAGGTTATATATATCAACATATCCTGTACTTCGGTTAAAAAGTAAAACCAGTAAAAGCCTGGTAAACTTATTCTCACAGGAATACATAAATATAAAATTAACAGATGGAAGACCCAGAATATCAATAAGAAATATTTCCTGTTAAAATTTGTTATAGAATGTATTGGGTAAATATACACAAAATCATTTAAAAAGTTCAAAGCTTTGAATATTAATACTCTAATTTGTATTAATGGAAGACAAACACTGGTAATACTAATGCACCATAAAGTGCTATGAATATATTCTTGTGAGACAGAGAGAGAGAGAGAGAGAAAAAAAACAGAAAGCCTGAAAATTTGATTCTGATAGCTAAAAGATCTCCTGATTATGTTTAAATAGCATAATTCATTTCTATACCAGCAATTACATACAAATAGAAATTTAACATACAAAATTACTCTCCTTTTATCTACAGACCAGACACAAAACTGCTTGGCTATAACTGCACAATACTTGCCTCTTGATATCTCTATCTCTCATTTAGTTTCATGTTAATTTGACTTCTCAATCATCATCTGTATAACACTTCAATGTACATTCATGCAGTTTCTTTATTCCTGAGATGTATCACAAATGCTGTGAAGTGTACGTATACAAACATTAATATTTGTCCCTTGCAGAAGAGTAACGAAGGAGGAAAAAATGGAGAAATATAAAAAAGTAAAAGGGTTTAATGTCTTGTGATAGATTTGCCCAAAATAATAGAAATATACTGTATACTTCTATAAAATACATTATGACACAAAATATATAGCTTAGCCCTTACACAGTAAAATTGCAGCACCAGGCATATGCACCAATATGACCCTTAAAAAATAAAACAGAATGACTATTTCTCATGCAAAATACATATCTGAACAACAACAAACAAAACAAACATTTATGACAAATGAAAAGATATGTAGCATAAAATAGAATTGCCATTTCTAAGAATCAAAAATATAAATCTACATTACGGTATCAGCTGTAACAATTCTTTCATTTATCATAGTGTGCCCTAGTCAAAATGCTCATTTGCCCTTTAACAAAAATCCTTCTGAACATCGAGAAATGGCATTTACTTTATTTATTACACATCACATCATCTGCAATCAATAATCAAAAATCAAAAGAAGTAACAAAGAAGCAACAACAAAGCACATTTGAATTAATGTAACAGCACTCTGTGGTTCAGCTAACCAGCAGCTTCAGGTTGTATTGAGAGACTCAGAAAGTCTCCTGACATCCTTCCAAGCTTAAAAGGGGCCACTCTTGGCCGGAATGTGCCTCTGCATGTACTTGTGCACACGAGGCCAGATCTCGTTGGATTCTGTTCCATGGAAGACTTGCAGGATGCCCAGGTCCTCATAAAATTTCTTCAGCGGCTTCGTGTTGGTGGCATACACCTCCAAGCGGTGCCGCACGGACTCAGGTTTGTCATCTTCCCTTTGAACTAAGGGTTCTCCTGTAACATCATCCTTGCCCTGGAAAGATTTTACACAGGATTAACAAGATATTGTCACACAAAGAGTGTATAATTAAGACCAGTGTACACAATTTAGATGATGTCCAAGTGTGTCCCATAAAATACTAAACTGGTTTCTCTTCATACACTGTGTGCGTGTGTGTGGGGGGGGGGGGGTGATGGGGGGTGATTGGGTGGGAGTAAATGGGTGGAAGGGTGTGTGTGAGTGGGTGGAAGGATGTGGGTGGAAAGGTGTGGGTGAATGAAAGGAATTTGTACTAACAAAAAAGTATTTAAAAAATATCAAGCAGCAAACAAAAGCTCTGAATGATCTTTATCTTCCTGTAATAAATAACCAATATGTAACTATCCCTTGGACACAATCAGTCAGTATAAAAAACAAACAAACAATTGTCCAGTTTCTTGTCTTTTTTTTTCTTCATGCATAGGTCTAGTACCTAAAAACCACAAAAAACAGTTCTAGGTTCCTATTCCAGTGAGTGAACAACCCAACTTTCGTTTGTCGCTATTTTTGGTTTTCAATATCGTCCCACTTTGTACTTTCCTTGTGGGATTAAAGGTAATGGTTAGAATATTGGTGAACAGCAAGACAAAAAGGGAGACAGTTAATGAACATACGGGCTTGTGATTCAACAAATATTCATTTCAACACAACAACAAGAAAATAAGATACCTGAATAACTACAGTGATGAATCTTTTGATGAGTTACCTGGATAGAAAACCATATACAGGTTATATATAATGTCATGTTTTATATATGAAAGTCATTTTTAAAATTCAAAGTCCCATGCACAGCAAATTAAGAAATAGAATTATTAGAATTATAGACAAAAAAAATACTTATTTAAAAGATCTTTCAATTAGTTCATGTTTCAAATAACTGAAATCCAAAAGTATATATTTCAGAAGACAATCTGAAATATCTTATACAAATGCTGGGAGGAGAGAGACACCTGACAGAAAATGAAACCAACAATCTATGAACAGTCAGAAAACTAACAAAGTGGTGTGGAACAACAAGGCAAGGTAGTTATCACCGTAATCAGGTGTTAACATCTGGAGCGAAACATTCATCTCCACAGGTAAAGGTAATGATCGTTTTTTTCTGACTGTACAAAGCAAGATAACAGCATAAATAAAATATTAATCATGCCACATTCTATATATTTACATCTTTATATCATATAGCTTTTCCTTTAATACAGAATTTACTTTTCTCCACCCAGTTTCTCTGTAGTGATGTTTCTAATTTTCTTATGCTTACTTACAAAATAAAAAAATCTAAATAATTTTCAACTCTACTTAACCCATTCGCCACTGATTTATGTTCTGTCCCCTGTTGGTTTTGGTGAATTTTGCTACCTACAGATGGCTCCACATGTACTCAGCCGGCAAGGAGTCTATCAGTAGGCCCTAGTTACCGACCCTGATTTTCCCATTCATTGAATTGGCGGGAAAATTAATATCATTGCTTTCGATGCTGTTATTATTGTTACTGATGTTATGATGATTGAATTGTCATTAGAATATTTTTGACAATAAGATGATACAAAAAACCCTTTCCGAAAGTGAAGGAAAAGGCTAAACAGGTGAAATAGGTAGTTCTTGATAACTGGCTATTTGGTGATTAAGAACTTGTAGAGCCATCTAGGTGTAAATACAATAAATAAACGTGTATCAAAGTG